CCCCCCCCCCCCCAACTGCATATCTAGAAGGCGAGGGGTGCTTGCAAACAGCCACTCCGATCCGGTGCAAAAAAAAACAGGAAAAAAAACTCTTCTATTGCCCGAATTGGGGAAGGGGCTTAATTTGGGGGGGGGGGGGGGGGGTGGGGGGGGGGGGCTTGGAAGAAGCCCACCGCAGGCAAGGAGGTCGATCCCATCAATCTAGGTTTCTAAACACCCCCCCTCCCCAATTCCTCAGGTTGTGGGGGTCTCAGGGGAATAACACCCCCCCCAAAAAAAAAGCGATGAAAAAGGAGGAGGAAAAAAGCGATCCGTTGCTTTTTTTTTTTCCCCCCCCCATTTTCCATCCAAAAGCCGTTTTTTTTTCATTTCTACAAAAAAAAAACGGGTTTTTTCGCCCCCCCCCCCGTAAAAAAAAAAAAAGGCGGCGTCTGTCGCCCTCTGCTGGCCGTCCCCCCGCACGCGGAGCTGTGCTTTGCTTTCCAGCTGCAAAGCTGCTTCTGTTTTCGTTGGCAAGAAACGGGGAATTTTGGGCCAAAATCTGAGACTTAACAGCGGATATGAAAGCTGTAGCCCCGTGTGTGTTTGTGTGTGTGTGTGTGTGTGTGTGTGTGTGTGTGTGTGTGTGTGTGTTTGCACTTCCCTTGGCGAGGGTTCCTTCCCCCCCCCCCCTCAGATGTTGTGATTTGAGTTGAAATAATGGGGGTGAGGAATAGAAATAATTATAAGGAGCAACAGCAGTACCCCTCTTAGCCCTTAGACTTATACACTGCTTCATAGTGCTTTTACAGCCCTCTCTCAGCGGTTTACAGAGTCGGCCTCTTGCCCCCCCCCCCCAACAATTTGGGGTCCTCATTTTACCGACCTCGGAAGGACGGAAGGCTGAGTCAACCTTGAGCCGGTCAGGATCAAACTCCCAGCTGTGGGTAGAGTTAGCCTACAATGCTGCATTCTAACCACTAGGAAGGAAGGAAGGAAGGAAGGAAGGAAGGAAGGAAGGAAGGAAGGAAGGAAGGAAGGAAGGAAGAGCAATAGTACTTAGACTTATATACCTCTTCACAATGCTTCACAGCCCTCTCTAAGTGTTTTAGAGTCAACCTCTTGCCCCCAACAATCTGACCAACTTTGGAAGGACCGAACGCTGAGTCAACCTTGAGCCTGGTGAGATTCGAACTGCCAAATTACAGGCAGCTGGTAGTCAGCAAAAGCAGCCTGCAGTACTGCCCTCTAACCACTGCGCCACCGTGGCTCTGAAATGCAGGATTCTGGGTGCAGAAATGCAAGGAAGAGGTCTTAGGGTGCATGGCAGGTGAGACCAAAGAAACAGGAATGCTTGGGACTTGAATTGCAGGCGGCAGCTTGCTAGGTTAGAGGCAGGTAGTCCTCAACTTACGACTGTACAAGCCAGCTATAACTACCTTGTTACAGATTGGATAGCCGTTTGTCTGGAATGCTACAGGGTCCCCCTGCTTGAACAGGGGGTTGGACTAGATGACCTCCAGCCTCCCTTCCAACTCTGCTATGTTGTTATCCTCCTTACCTACAACTCCCCTCTAATTTGAACCTGATTCCTTGAGTTCTGGGGCAAGGGCAGAGTGGCCAAGTGACAGGTGATGACCACTGACATTTGGGATCACTAACCTGCACACCGGAGGCTCTGGACCAGTGGTGGTTCGTCCCGGTTCCTGGAGGCAGCAGAGAGCTCTGGCAGCCTCCAGGATGACTGGAGCAGACTGAGGCAGGTGAGGGTTTATTGCAGGAACTAGCGGAGGAAACATTTATTTGGAAAGAGAAGCCACAGACTGGAAACTTCAGCCAGAGAAGTTTTGCAATCCAAACTTCCCTGGCTGAAAAACATCGCCACATTCCCACCAAAATGAATTTATTCTCTTCTGTTCTGTTCTGTATTCTGTTCTGTTTTCTATTCTATTCTATTTTCTGTTCCATTTTCTATTTTATTCTATTTTCTGTTCTATTCTATTCTTATTTCTGTTTTGTTTTCCATTCTATTCTATTTTCTGTTCCATTTTCTATTTTATTCTATTTTCTGTTCTATTCTTATTTCTGTTCTGTTTTCTATTCTACTCTATTCTCTATTATTCTCTATTCTATTCTATTTTTATTCTATTCTTTCTATTCTACTCTATTCTTTCTCTATTCTATTCTTTTTCGATTCTATTCTATTCTATTCTATTCTTTTTCTATTCTACTCTATTCTATTCTACTCTACTCTTTCTCCTCCTCCTCTCCGCTCCTATTCTATTGTTTGTCTGAGTTGGTAGTTCCTTGATTGTTCCATCAACACAACAACCCACTTGTATACAAACAGAGCAACCCCGCCCCTCCTTTCTAGCACTGATGATGTTACCTATCCGGGTCATGAAATGTCCACAAGGAAACCACCAAGCTCAGAGAACACCCCAGAAGATTCCTCCGCTGCCAGTTACGGAGACCTCCTCCCTCCATTGCCAAGATCCAAAAAGCGATCTCCATCTTGCAGACAGCCTCAAATAAAGCAAGGGGATCCGACAGCTTCCCAGCTAGGATCCACACAGCACTAGACTCAAATACTCGGCAGCCATCTTGAGGGACGTTTGATCCACCCAGGAGATGCTGGTTGACTTCCTCCTTGCGGTTCTTTGTAAAAATAAGGGGAAGCAGACCAGACAGTGGTAGAAGCCACCAAGCGGGGGTCTCACCTCAGTCATTCCAGAGAAATCTTGATCCACGTTTTCCTGGACAGACGTGGGTTTGTCTTATAACTTCCCAGGATGGTTTTTGGACCACACCAGAGTACAAGGTAATCCTCGAGTTACCACCCAGTTGAGCCCAGGTGGCTAAAGTGAGACCTTTGTTTCAGCGAATCTGGCTTCCCCATTGACTTGTCGGAAGGGTCACGTAACACCAGAATGACAGAGCTGGAGGGGGCCCTTGTAGGTCATCTAGTCCAACCCCCCCTCCCTCCCAAGCATGACCCTGGGACACTGCAAGCATCATAAATACAAGCCAGCTGCCAAGCGTCTGAATTTTGATCGTGTGACCATAGGGATGCTACAAATTGTTGTAAGTGTGAAACATGGTCATAATTCCCTTTTTTCAGTGCTGTAGTAACACTAGACAGATGTGAACCAGGTTCATGATCATTTAATGTATTTGCAGGTGCAAAGAAATGTCACCCGAATTGAAGACAGCAGCCAGAGTCTGGCTGATTTGATTTGGAGGTGGGTGTGTCTCGGTGGGCCTGACTACAAAGCTCATGTTGCTCACCCAGGGCTGGCTGGGAACGATGGGAACTAGAGTTTTAAGTCCACCTGAGAAGTTAAGCAATGGAAACTAGAGTCCACACAACTAATTTCTTTCTCTCTTTTCTTTCTCTCTCTCTCTTCCTCTCTCTCTCTCTCTCTCTTACACATGCTCTTTCTCTTTTTCTTTCTGTCTCACACTCTTTCTCTTTCTCCTCTTTGTCTCTTTCACACATGCTCTTTCTCTCTTTCTCACGTGCTCTTTCTCTTTTTCTCTCTCACACTTTCTTTCTCTTTGTCTTTCTCTCACATGCTTTTTCTCTCTCTCTCTCACGTGCTCTTTCTCTCTCTCTCTCCTCTTTCTCTGTGTTTCTGTCTTTCTCTCTCATGTGAACTTTCTCTCTTTATCTTTCTCTCACACTCTTTCTTTCTCTCTCTCTCTCTTTCTCTTTTTAAATTCCTTTTCCCGGGTTCGCCTCCTCTTTCTCTAGCCCTGATTGGGCAGCAGCCCCACCTATCACCCGGCCTCTGGTCCCGCCTCCTCTCTTTGTTGATCAGCCATGCAACGCAGAGAGACGGCACTTCCTGCGTCCTGGTAAGCTGGGGAAGGGGGTGCGGGGGGTCTTCTCGCCTCTTTTTGCAAAATAGGGAAGGCTGGCAAATCTGCAAAAAAAAAAAAAGAAGAAGAAGAAGTAAGGCCCGGTTGGGGTTTAAAGCTGGCTTAATCCCGGCTTGCTAGCTAAGCCAGGGATTGCATGCTAAGCCAGGGAAATCCACTTGCAAGCCCCTTTTAAAGTGGGGTCCCCCGAGGTGCAAATGGCTCCCTCAAAGAGGGGGGGGGCTTTTAATCGCGGCCCAACCCCTTGCTCAGCCCCTTGCTCGTGACAACCTGGTGCTTCCTTGCCTAATGCAACGCTTTCCCCTCAAGAAAGCAGAATATTTTGTGTCCCTGTGCGATGCCCTTTCCCCTCTTTGCTTTTATGGTGTGTGTGTGGGGGGGGGGTCGCCCCGTGAAGCGGGCTGCAGCCCCCCAAAGCTTGCACCTTTTCCTAAAAGGGGGTTCCTTTGAAAAGAGGCTCCCGGGAGGGGGTGCAGTAACAAAGCGTGGCCACTAGAGGGGGGAACTTTCCAACTAACTAGGGTCTGAAAGGCGTAGTGGGGCAAAGGAGCCTCTAGAGGGCGTCCCACTTACTCCCCCATTGGACTGTGTGACTTGGGTCTTTGCAGCCCATCAACCCATCGAAGCCAAAGGTGACTTGGAGGAGTTTGGTTTCCACCCGCCTGTCCTTCAGTCCTGGAAAAAGCTTGCAGCCCAACCTGGTCCCTGCTTGGATGGGGTACCACCAGGAGATCCCAAAGCTGTAGGCTACAAGCGGGAAGCCGAAAAACAGACCAGGAATCCCAACACACACACACACACACACCTGTGTGGTCCCCAGCCTAATTGGGTTAAGCCATGAACACAAGCGGGTGTGGCTTTCCCACAGTCAGTCGTGAAAATGCATTCAGGGGGTCCTCAGGTTACAACCCCCAAATTTCTTAAGGGTTGAGCTTTGCCCCAGTGTTATGGACCTTTCTTGCCCCACCGTCGTTAAAGGAATCAACGGCGGTCGTTAAAATGAGTAGCATGGTTAAGAGAATCTGGAGTCCCCTGTTGATTTGGCATGTCGCCAAACGGGACCACGACACACACCCCCGGGATGCTACAACCAACATTTAATGTGAGTCGGTTGCAGAGCGCCTCAATTTGGATCACGGGAATGGCCGTTAAGTGTGAAAAAAACGGCCGTAAGTCACTTTTTTTCAGTGCCGGTGTTAACTTTGGTCAGTAAATGAACCTACACTAAATGAACCTTGATCTACACTAAATGTAGATCGAGGACTAGCTGTGTAGAGAGCTGAGGACTTAAGCTCTCTACACAGCTAGTCCTCAATCTACAACGGAGATCCAAGTATCTAATTCTGCTCCTTTTAGGCTCCCGGAACGGACCGTGTGGTTAAACAACGGTGTCCCGATGCCCCTTCTAGGCCTTGGCACCTTCCGTCTGAAGGGGGACGAGGCCGTGCAGGCCAGCCTGGACGCAGCTCTGGCAAACGGCTACCGCTTGGTGGACACGGCCACCGTCTATGGCAACGAGGCCGCGATCGGGCAAGCTCTTAAGGATTTGCTGCCTCGCCACCATCTCACCCGCAAGGACGTTTTCCTGACCAGCAAGCTGAGCCCGAGAGACCACGGAGAGGAGGCTGCCTATCAAGCTTGCCTTCGCAGCTTGCAAGACCTAGACTGCGGTTACCTGGATCTCTACCTGATCCATTGGCCGGGGACTCAAGGCCGGCCTCAGGACGATGCCGGGAACCCGGAACGTCGGTTGCAGAGTTGGCGCGCCCTGGAGCGTTTGTACGAAGCCGGGAAGCTCCGAGCTATTGGCGTCTCCAACTACACCGTCCGGCATCTTCAGGAACTGTTGGCGCACTGCAGGGTGAAACCCACTGTCCTGCAGGTGGAATTCCACCCCGAACTCACGCAGGCGGAGGTGCTCGAGTTTTGCACCCGGAACGGCCTCCATTTGCAAGCGTATTCCTCGCTGGGGACTGGCCCATTGGTAGAGCATGCCACAGTACGGGCCGTAGCCCAGCGGTGCGGTCGTACGCCCGCCCAGGTCTTGCTCCGTTGGGCTCTGTGCCGAGGCGCGAGCATCATTCCCAAGTCGGCGTCTCCACGCCGCGTGGCTGAAAACGGCCAGCTGTGGTCGTGGGACCTGAGCCAAGCCGACCTGGAAGAGCTAAACTGCCTGGATTGTGGGAAACGGTATTGCTGGGATCCCACTGGGGTGGTGTAAGAAGCCGGCATGGATCCCGCCAGCTTCAACCGGGATTTTTCCAACTCTTGAAGGTGGTCACCCTCTTCGTGAGGTCAATTTCCTATCTCGAAGCTTGCCGTCTTGCCGGGGTGCCAACGCTTGGTTGCTAATTGTTGGTTTAGTGCCTTGCCCTCGCTGAGTCACTTAGGGCTGAGTCAACCCTAAATTAGCCAGGTTTACAAATGTCAGGCTATTTTAGTCACTCGTTTTGGAGGGGTGGGCGGGTTTTTGAGAGGCAACCTTCCCACCCAGCTGCGAGATCGCGGGGCGGAAAAAAATGGATACGAGGCCTGATGAGAAGCCAGAAATAACAACCTTTATATACATTATTTTTTTTCCTTTTAGGAATTAAAAGACAAATAAACAGCAACAATACAGAGAGTGAAGGTGAGAAAAAAAATACAGGTTTGTTTGTTTTTTTGCTTTGTTCAAAAAAGGAGATTTGCCTTGATTTTTCAGGAGAGGACGGGGGACCCTGGAAAATTAAGGGTGTTGGATACTGGGGAAGGGGAAAATACACCCCTGAATTTAATTTAGGGTTGAAGGAGCAGAGGGTGAAAATCTGGACAGTGCCATAATGTCAGATCCGGAGTAAACTTCTTGTCGGTGGCGTAAGGAATGGAAAGTGTTGGGGAACAAACTTGGCACCCGGAATAATTTGGAGGATACACCACGGAGGAAAAAGCCTACGGTCGAAACCCCACCAAGTGTCTCCCTCCCACCCAGCCCTCCCCACCCCCGTAACTGGTAGCAGCAAAACCCGGTTAAGAACCGGAAGGTCCATTCTCCGGGCAACTTCGGCGCCACCACGACCGCAGGGTGTCTTTCCAGCTGGGAGGAGGGCGGTCCATGTGGGAGCAGGTCCCGGCGCTTTTCGGGCGCGGCAGCTTCTGAAAGACAGCGGAGAAAGCGCGTGAGATTGTGACGCAAAACCGGTGGACCGACTATACCGCTATACCGATTGGTAAAATAGGTCGCCGTTGCACCCATCGTGGTTGGCGTCTTTCTTGAATCGTTTTTCCTTGGGGGCAAAGTGGAACGAAGAAGGATCGGCGGTGGCTTTTCTCTCTTTTGAGATGCGTTCAACCAAGCAAAGGTTTGAATTGGAATTAGAATTACAATTAGAGTTACAATTAGATTAGAGGTAGTCCTTGACTTACAACCATGTCAGCATTCCAGCAATCCTCCGCTCCAATCAATAACTCTGAGACAGGTATCTTCTCAAATGTTCCTTTTATTTTGGACAATAAACTGGCACACCTGGGGAATCCTGAATCTGAAAGTTCTGGGCTTCCTTGCAGTAAGCCAAAAACTACAAAATCCATCCCCTACACCCATCATTGCATCACATGCCCCAATCACCACCTGTCCCAACTTGAGACTTCCCATCACTTAGGCACCAAATAACATGACCTTGAATTAGAAAAAGAATGTTGTTATGTCTAAGTTGATAGATCCAATATATTTCCCCCTCCCACTTTCCCAGGATCAGAATGTGGCAGCGTGGGAGCATCTGGTCTCAATATGGCTTCCAAAGCTGACAAACAGTTCATTTAATGGCCGCTCTAATTTACAACGGCCCTGAAAAAAAGGTACTTGGAACCATCTACAATTGTCGCGGCATCTCCCTGGTCACTAGATCAAAATTCAGCCACTTGATTGACTCATACTTATGACAGTTGCAGTGTCCCGGGAGTCAGGCAATCCTGTTTGGACAAGCCAACTCCACGGGGAGGCCTGATTCGCTTAGCCACCGTGTTCATAACAATGGCGGCAATTCACTTAACAACGGCGGCAAGAAAAGTCGTAAAATGGGGCAAAATTCACTTGTCTGTCAACTCATAAAATATTTCTAGGGTCTTTTTAGAGTTGCCAATAGAAAGGGAGGGGGGAACAGTGGGCAGCTTGCATTCCATAAATGTTTTCAAAGTTAGTTTCTAGGTGACTGAAGTTTCTGCTGGGCAAAATTCTAACTGGAGAGCTTGATTCTTGGCTATGGAGGCGTCCCATTGGAGAATATGAATTATAATGCACCCAGGGGGTGGGGGGGAAAATAGGGTCAAGGGTGACAATGAATGATGTGTCTCAGAGTCAGTTACATCCAGGCAGTGCCGGACATATTAACTCCCAATAAATCCTTTTTAAGTTTTGGAAGTTTGGCTCGAGACTCAGGATTTAAATGGGGGCAACTGCCGGAGCCCTGACATTGTCAGGGTTCCAACGGATGCCCTAATTAATTCATGAGCCTGGACATCACTAATGTTTCGCTCGGCAACAGAGACTTGGGGCTCCATTGTTGTAAGTCGAGGACTTCCCTGTAGGTTACTCCCTTTAGTAGACCCTCCGTAAAGGGAAGGATCGCTCGGCGTTTGCAAAGTTGGCGTCCCTGCCCTGCCCTGCCCTGCTGAGGCCAGGCTTACCTGAAGGGCGCCGTGAAATTCATCGCTCATCCTGCGTAATTCTCGGCCGTATCGTTGCGCGGCCCACAAAATGGGAGGGGCAGAGCGTGAGCGGGCCCGGAAAGCCCCCACCTCATCGGAGGTCTCCGAATCGAGTTGGTCCGACCCAATGCGGCGTCTCAGTTCTAACAGAGCAAGACATCTCAAGTTAGAAGGAAGTGGGAGTTACTCGTACACGGACAGTTTGACAGAGTCCTCGTCTTAACGACCGCAAGGGAGGTCAGAAGTTCCGTTGCTAAGCAAGGCGGTTGATTTTTTTAACAACCCTGAGGTTGTTAAGCATATACCTCTGGAGTTGTTCGGTGATTTACAAAAGGGGCTTCCCCCATCGATCATCGTTGGAAATTGGTCGGTAAGTCACAAATGGCCGATCGCAGGAGACTCTGCAACTTTCATAAATACAGGGCCAAGCACCTGAATTTTGAATCGCGTGATCCACGGGAATTCTGCCATGTGTGACGACCGGTCATAAGTCACATTCCCCGCCCCCAAGCACTGTTGTAACTTCAATCAAGGAGATTGTTTGTAGCTCGAGGTTGAAATGAGGGATCCTTGGTACTCTCTGAGCTTGGTTTTTTTTTCTAGTGGACGACTCATGACCCAACTAGGTAACATCATCAGCGCTAGAAGGGAGATCAAAGAGATTTGATCTCTGCAAGGAAACACATAAAGCGGAAAAACTCTGTCCCTTCTACCATAGCACTGATGAAGTTACCTTTCCCACTGAATGAATTTAGTCTGTTCTGTTCTCTATTCTAATCTGTTCTATTGTATTCTGTATTCTATTCTCATTCTATTCCTATTCTATTTTTAATCTTATTCTTTTTCTATTCCTGATTCTATTTCTATTCCTTATTCTATTCCTTACTCTATTTCTATTTCTATTCTACTCCTAATTCTATTCATTATTCTATTCTATTCCTAATTCTATTCTAATTATTCTATTCCTTATTCTATTTCTATTCTATTTCTATTCCTTATTCTATTTTATTAATTGTTCGACTTGGTAGTTCCTTGATTGCCCCACCAACATGACAAGTGACCTGTATATAAACAAAGCAAAACCCCACTTCCCTTCTAGCACTGATGAGGTTACCCAGTTGGGTCATGAAACGTCTCCAGGAAAACCACCAAGCTCAGAGAGCACCGAGGAGCCCTCCTGTTTGTAACTTGGAGCTGCCGCTAAATGAACGGTCGTAAGTCGAGGCTAACCTTGTAGGAGGTTAACCATCGTATGAGCCACCTGGCGTGATCTGATAGGCATTTCCTTCGGTGGAGCCCAGAGGGTGTGGATTTAAGACTGCAGCTGAATAGGGCGAGATCCCTGTTGTACGCTCAACTGGACAGGAACAATTTTCACGTCACTGAATGGGCTTTAAGCTTGTCAGAGGACGCATCATATCAATTTTGACAGCAGCGTCATTTGTGGTTTCAACTACACGGCTCAGATTTTGGATAAAACAACCGTCTTATACGGAAGGCAACTTGGGGCGGGGGGAGCACAGGCAAGAAATCCCCCCAAATTCCTTTTTATTTCCTCTTTCCTGTCCAGCAACCTTAAAATCAGCCAGAGCTTAAATTAAACCAAGGATCTCATACACTCTGCAGTCCCCGACTTCTGACTTTCACGACCGCAAAGAATCGCTTAACGGCCAAGCCCCCCCCCAAAAAAACATTGCAAAATTGAGTGGGGAGGGGACACGGCGGCTCACTCAACGACCACACTGCTTAGCGACGGACGTTCCGATCCTAACTGGCCGTAAGTCGAGAGCTGCTTGTATTTGACCTCTTTTTCAAAATCCCCTGCACCACACAGGCCAAAGGTAAGTTGCTAATTTTGTGAGAACCCATCGCACCGCGGCTTAACCGAGAAACCGTGATAAAGCAAACCAGGGTTTAATCAGGGCTGTTTTCTCAAGGGACCGGGTAAAACTTTGCTCGAGAGCTGAGAAATTGTGGAAATAGTAAGCTGGGAGGATGCCCTGCAGCGTTTCCTCTCACCTGGGTTCTCATGCGAGGGGCTGTTCAGATCCTTGGGCCCCCAGGCGCTCAGCTTGGGATCCGTGGGGTCCTTGTCACTCGTGGAGAAAGTTTCATCTTGAAATTCAGAAATCTGGAACATGGTCAGGGGGCTGGCATCGCCCCTGCCTCTTGACTCTGTGTTTTCCAGAAGGCTTAGAGGTAGTAGACTGCCTGTGGCCGAGGGAGGGAGAATTGGAGGAGGGAAAGGAAGGGAAGAAGGAAAAGGAGAGAGAAATAGGGACGAAAGGAAGGTGAATTAGGGAGGGAGGGAGAATTGGAAGAGGGAAGGGAAGAAGGAAAAGAAGAGAAATAGGGAAGAAAGGAAGGTGAATTAGGGAGGGAGGGAGGGAGAATTGGAGGAGGGAAAGGAAGGGAAAGAAAAGGGGAGAGAAATAGGGAAGGAAGGAAGGAAGGTGAATTAGAGAAGGAGGGAGGGAGAATTGGAGTAGGGAAAGGAAGGGAAGAAGGAAAAGGGGAGAAATAGGGAAGAAAGGAAGGAAGGTGAATTAGAGAGGGAGGGAGAGGGAATTGGAGGAGGGAAAGGAAGGGAAGAAGGAA